AAAAAAATTCTTCTATCAGTCCTTAATCACCTTTAACGAAATAGGGTGAATACATCTCTTATTACTGATTTACTGGTAGTCTCGAAAGAATTCTTAAATACGAAAAATACATTCAAGGAGTTAAGGTTAAGTTTGCTTCAATTTTTATAATTGTATAAGATCCTTGAACCATTCTTATTTAAATTAAAAATTGAATTTTTTTAAAGGTATAATAACTTTTTATATAAGTTACTTTATATTGTTGTAGACCCCAGGTTCCGTAAAGACGCAAAGCAGCGTAAGGTTTCTTCTCTGCTTGCTGGCCAACTTCTTCGGGTTAATGCTAGCCATGGTCTATTCTGCTAATTTGGTGTCCATGCGCCTTACTTCGAGCAATAATATTGCGCCTGAGTTCAATTCACCTGAAGACTTGCTGGCACTTCATAATAAGTACAAGTGGTACTTTCTGAATGACAGCTTTGCCCTATATCTCAGTCAGGTAGGTATATCGGTGTGAATTTCTATTTTTTAGCCTTAGATTTGTCTAGATGGTTGAGGCCTTAACCATTATCATCGGAATATTTAAACGGATTGACTCTTTAGCTGCCGTGTGTTTTACAGTATGCCCTGTTTTTTTGAATCATCATTTCGAAAAAGAACCACTACGCTTAGATTTTGGCGATTCGTCCTGATCAGTATACTATAGAAAATATTTGAAGACTCATATTTCTCTATCAAGTATTTCTTTTAGGCTCTCTTGATATGCGGCCTCTCATCATGGCAATCTTGATCAAAGGGCAAAACAGGACCAAGCATATAATCATTTGGTTCATGGTATTGTTTTATTAAATGCGAATTTCCTACCAGTCACACTTAAACTAGCTGATATAGTAGTACTGAGATATTATTTATATATATTTCAGTCTAAATAATGATTAAGATTAAAGTGTAATACATTTCACATTTAGGATGAGTCACCTCTTTAACACTTCTTGACGAACAAGAGGGTCTATTCAAAAGAGCTATAAAGCTCATATAATCTGCCAATCCTTCTTAAGGTATTGTTAGAGGGACCTTCATTTCGTATGAAAGTGCATGAAGAAGAGATTCGTTAGTCGATCTCACCAGA